CAGATAAAAGTTGCCCCATAAACAAGCCCATCCTGCCTTTGGGAAGGGCATCTCCGCCGGCCCCGGCCCTGGGCAGGAAACCCTCACCAGGGCCCCCCGTGTCCCGTCCCCTGGGCACGGGGCAGGGCTGGCACTGCTGGGAGTGCTCAGCACCCCTGCTTGGTTCCTACTCTTGACATGGGTTAAAAATAGCCACCATGGCACGGGACTCGCCATGGCAGCCATGGCCAGAGCCGGAGGGGAAGCATCTGAACCCCTCCTCCTCCTCCTCATCCTTCTCTTCTTCCTGTTGTTGTTGTTGTTTTTCCTCCCTGTAAACATCGGGCTGGAAGCAAATACGACTTGGGATCAGCCCCAGGAGGGGACGGGGGGGCTGGGAAGCAAGGATAGCTGCTGTTGGGTGGTGGGGGCACAGCCAGGAGCTTTGGCAGAGGGTGCCTGGGGCAGGGAAGGAGCAGAGGAGTGGCAGAGGAGGCAGCCGGGCGGCACGTGGCAGTTTGGCCGATGTCCCACGGCCGTGGCTGGGCTGGCAGGAGGCTCCACGTGGGGCTCTTGGCACTCGATCCCTCCCCATCTCTGCCAGCTTCCCCCAGGGCAGCTCCTCTCCCCAAACCCTCACTCTCCCACCCTGCTTTGGGGTAGGGCCAGGAATCCCACTGCCGGGATGCTCCTCTATCCCTCGGAAAGCCCTGCCTGAAAGCCCAGCTCCCTCCGAGGTTATTTCTGCTGTTGACATTTTTTCACGACACTTCCCACACTTTTTGTGAAATCTGTACCCCTGTTATTGCAAACTTCTCTCTCCTTCCCCTCACCCCAGCTTGCTTTAGCAATAGCTGCAGGAAAAACAGCCCTGACGGGGAAGGAGCTGTAGAAATATCTGTAAATCCTCTGCAGGTCCTGATGACAGCATGGGGACTCTCCCTTCTGCGGGTACTTGTGGCTGGAGGGAGATGGGACATGTCTGAAGTGAAACCCTGCTGTGAGGTGTGATACAAGTGTCAGAAATTGGGAATATCTGCCCATAGGCACTGCTCTGGTTGCTGCTGTGGGCTGCTGTGGATTTTCCCCTCAGCAACATGGGAAAGAAAACAGCTTTATTACGATCTATTTTTTAATCTGAAAACATAATTGCACAGGGATCTGGGGGGCAGGAGCAGGACCTGGGATTGCCTTAGCACAGCCTTTGACACTGGCTGGGTTTCAGGACCCAGATGCCCCTTTCCCTCGTTCTCACAACGCTGCCGTGGCCTCAGGAAGAGCTGCAGCTCTAGGATGGCAAGTGCTGCTCCGGGATGGTCCTGGAGGGAGATCCCTGCCTCC